TTTGCAATAGTTTAAATTGCATTAATTAAAATTTTACCATTTCGCATTTTCTAAAATAATTTAGCCAAGCAACCTTACTTGAGACAATAACTTTTTTTGAATTTGTTTGATTATTTAAGGGAGAATATGTACTATATAATTCTTGTAAATTATTAATAATTTCAGCTAAGTCATTATTTTCAAATAATGTGATTTTGTAACACAGATCTAATACCAAAAAAATTGTAGAAGTGTAATTTAAATGATCATCCCAATATTTTTTTAATTTGTTGTAAATAGCTGATGCTATTTCTTTTTTTAAACATTCTAATAAAAACTAATTGTATATCACCTTACATGGGATTTAATGATGATAATAATAATTGTGTTGCTTCATACATAGGTTGTAAAATTAATGATAATTCCTAAAATAAATAATAAATATAAAATAAATAAATAATAATTAATTAATTATAATAATAAAATAATAAATAATAAATACCTTAATACAACCCATTCAGAAATTGTTGTAAAAGGATTATCAAGATCTTCAGAATTTGTTGTTACAAGTAAATCAGAAACATTTTGCATTAAAGTTTGTCTAGCAATCATCAAATATGTAGAATTTTAACATGTATCTATATCTAAAATTGGCTTTAAAAATTTAACCTTTCTAATAATACAAATTTCTAATAATTTATCTAATAATAGTGGTGAATTTTTTAATTTAACAACAAATTGATGAAGTTTTTAATTTCATCTCCTACATATTTCATTTCAGCTTTTACTGTCAAGTTGATAATGTGAGCAGCACATTGAAAATGAATAAAAGACATATTATTAAATTCTTGATCTAATTTAGTTGCTAATTGCTATCATATTGCTTTCATTATCTATTGTTATAGTAAGAATATTCTGACTAATATTGAATTCTTCAAAAAGTTGTGAAAGTTTGCTTGTAATTAATTCAGCTCTATGAAAACCATTTATAAAAATTATATCAAGCAAAAGATTCTTTAATTTCTAATTATTATTAATATAATGAATTGTTATTTCAAAATAACAATCTTTTGGATCTGATGTCTATATGTCTGTTGTGAGAGATATTTTTGAATTAATTTGTGAAATTTCACCTATTAAATCATTTCTTTTGTATCATAATTTTTTACAAATTTTTCTTTTAAAGTTTGTTTACATGGTAAAATAAATTAAAGATTCAACTTATTAATAAACAATTTTGAATTCAGTATTTTCAAAAATAGAAAAATGTTGTAAATCAGTTGCAATAAAATCAATTAATGAATTTGTGATAGAGTTGGATTGTGATAAAGAATAGGGTTTGAAGCATGTTTCATTCAAAGTAATTTGATGATTTTCAGTTTTTTTATAATAAAATGAATGTTTTTTAGTTAAATATTTTCAAAAGGTGGTTGTTGGATTGCCAGTCAATAAATTTTAGCACATAATATGCATTTATAACTTGTTGTTAGTTCAGTTTCTTCATCTTAGACTTTAAAAAAAAATTCTTATACATTTGACTTGCGAGTTGTTATATTGGAATCTTCTTCAGTTATTAAAAAAGTTGAAAAAACATCTGAGAAATTATCATCATTTTAATTTGAAATTACACCACTAAACATTGTATAATACAAACAATAATGCAAAATGAAAATTATTCTAGTTAAAAATGATCAACACATCTTACAATTTACGTGATATAGTATTTATATAGATTGATTGACTAAACTAGTCTAAAAATCAGTTTGACTCAGTTTAGTTTCAGTTCAATTTGATCCTCAAATCGAACTGAAACCAGTTTTATAATCAAACTAGACTAGTTTGAACACAGACCTTAACATTCCTAAGCTTATTATTCTTTTTCAAAAGAAAAACATTGGGTGAAAAGGTGGTTTGCATAATAATATTGAAAAAACATTTATAGAATAGCTAACTCAAATATTATGATATATTTAAAGTTGCTTGTCTAAACTCATTTTGGATTTGGCTAAATGTTTAAACCTTAGTTTCGCTAAATTTTTACTAAGTATTTGATATAGTTTTGCCATTTTTATAAGCTTTGATATAGTTTTACCTTTTTCTGAATTTCACAGATTTTTTAATAAGATTTTAATATAATTTAACCAAGTTTTACCTTTACTATTTAGACGTCTGTCTAAACTCTTAATTTTGCCTAGCAACCTTAATCACTGATCATCTAAAGGTATCAATCACTCTTTATAAATATTATTTTTAAATAGTTTATTAATTATAATATCAAAAGATTTGCAAAATATTAGTTAATTCACATAAAATCACTATTAAATTAATATTATTTTTATGAATTTTTTTAATTGATTTATTTAAATATCCTTTAAATAAATTATATATTAACATTATTAGATTCTTAAATCTATTTTATTGAAGTAATCAATTATATTATCATTCAGAATATGTTCAACTTCTTTCAAATCTGTAGATAAAATAGAATAATTGGTTAAATTACCATATAGATTCATCGTAAAAGAAAAATATCATATTAAACATCATATTCTTTCTTACTTTTTTATATCTTAACTATCTTTGATCTGCACTATAGTATCCAGATTTATGTAATGTTTTGCAAAATTATATTTTTTATATAATTTATTTATTAATTATTATAATATAAAAAATTTAGCAATTCTTATAAATTTTTGATCATTTAAAATTTTATATATATTCTTTAAATATCAACATCTATCTGTTATTATTTTGAAAGGATTTTTTTTAATGTTGATTTAAATCTACATTTCCTTCAAAAGATTCAAAATTTAAATAATTATTATAACATATAAAATATTTTAGCTAGTAAAATTACAAATAGTCATATGATTTATATAAAAAAATGTAAAATGCAAAAAATTATTACATTTTAAATGTAAAAAAAATAGAAAAATTACAGAGATTATGCAAATGCATAAGTTTAAACACTCTAATTTACACTAAAAGCTTGTTCTTTTTTAATAATATTTTTATAATCTCCTACTTAATTTGACAGTTCAGAAGTTTTATTAGGCAACTATAGATATAGATATCAATAATTTTTTGAATATTGTGGTTGACTTAGATTGATTAAATAATAATGCTCTTCGGTCTTGAACTATCTAAATATTTTTGCATGAATTGTGAATTTTATAGAATGTTTTATAATATCATTGAGTGATTTATACATTAGCTCTAATTTTGAATAAGATTTTAAACATATGAATGAATATCACAAAAATCATATCAAATCCTTTTTAAATTGAGTATTTTATAAGTAAATTTCATATTATGTAACTGGTGACATTTAATGAACTTTTTCAGCATAACCACTAGTACATAATGAATTTTATTGATCTTATCTAAAATAGTTATATTAGTTTTCACAAAAATTTGTTATTTTAAATAACTTAAATTTCTCTTCAACTTTTGAAATTATTTTTATATAGGAATGTTTGTGCACTTTATAAAATAAGGTCAAAAGTGAGGTTTTAAATTTCATTTTTTAACTTACATATTGTATTTTTTAAAAGTTACTTTATAAAGAAATCTGTATTGAAAACATCAAATTTTTTCTAAATAAACTTGTAAAGAAGACAAAAATTGCATATAAAATGTAATTTTAGAATCTATTTAATACCTTTACTAAGTCTTATTCTAAAAAAAATAAAATCAAATTTTTTCGTTAAAATATATTACCTATTTTTTAGAAATGATCAACAAATTCAAATCACATGCTGATGATTTTTGGTGATTACTCATAATTTTTTAGCAGTTTAATCACATAATCATATGATTAATGTTGTAAGCGAAACCTATGAGTTGCACCAAAGGTTAATTCTGAAACTTGACGAAACTAGTTTTGCCAAACCTTTAAATTTCAAAATTTCCAAAACTTCTAAAACTTTTCAAAATTGACGAAACTTATTGAAACTGACAAAACTTATTGAAACATTTTTATTGGTTATATTAGTATATTAATTAAGTAATTTTTATGTAATTTTTTAAATCAAATTATAATAAAATATTTAGTGTAAAAAAATTTTATTAAAATGAAAACTTATAAATACATAGATACAATTTACAAATAAGCTTCAACTGCTAAATTAGGATTCTAATCTTCTTCTGCATTATCTGCTTCTACAGTATCATTTCTAATATCATTATTATCATTAGTTTCTTCTTCTAAATCCATATTTAAATCTTCAATAAATTCATCAAGATCTTTCAAGATCTCTGGTGTATTAAGATTTAAAATTTAATCTAAATGAATTATATCTTCTCTATTATTATTACTACCTTCTGGTATATATATATCATTTATTTTATCTTCCAATTCTACTTCAAATTTATCATCTTCATACAAATTTGCATCATGTAAAATAATTTGTAATTCTTTATTAGGTTTTCTATTACCATAAGATGGCAATTCTTTTTTTGCATTGTAAGATAAAACGCAGCTAATTTTTGCATTTCTTCAACTTTTTCTAAGCAAAGTCTAGTTCTATACTTTCCATAAAAGCATCCAAGAGATGATCATATTCTTTTACATGCAGCTACATATGAAGTTATTGAGAAAAGTTTTGTAACAAGTTGAGAAATATGATTATGATATATTGGTAAAATATCATCTACACAATACCACTATATCATTGGAGAACTGTTAGATTCAAATTATAAATCATAAGATGCAATTCATTTTTTATATTCAACTAATTATGCCATTTGTTCTACTCATTCTTTATTAGATTTTTCCATTTTTTCATAAAGATTGTCATCTGTCATAAGAATATGACATAAAATATCTTGTATAAATATCTGACCTATTAAAATATATTAATATTAATATATTAATTATAAAAATAAATAAAAATAATTTAAAATTTCTTACCACTAATACCTGAATATAAAAAAAAACATAGCAAATATACATCATTATCAAATTCACTAAAGCATTGATTAAAAATTATAATACAATTATATCGAAATGCTTGATGATTATTTTTAGGTAATTTTTTAATAGCTGCTCCTAATTGTGCTAAACCTAAATAATGATCTGCTAAGGTACATATTTGTAATTCAAGAGTAGCAATGTTTTTTTTAAGTAAATGTAAAGTAAAAACCAATATGCCACATTGATCAAAAAATGCATAGCTTTGTAAAACACTTAATACTGCAGTAAAAAGTATATCTGTATAATTATAATGCATCTTTAAAATTAAATATTAATTTAGTATTTTAATTTAAATAAAAAATTCAAACTTATAATAATTTTCATATAAAATATTAAATAATAATATTTCCAAAGTTATATGATGATACATCACAGATTCTACAGAATCATACATTATATGCTATTATATTTCAACCCATTTTTTTAATCTATCACCTTCAATTTTCGATTCAATAGCAAATTCTTTAAGCATTTGTCTTATATTTTAAAAAAAAAATAAAAAGTTAAAATTGATTTTAAACCAATATTTTTTATTAATATTAAAGTAAAATATTAAAATAATTTGATTTAAAATATTTAACCAATATCATATATTAGCGTAATACTTTATTTGTAAATGATATTTTATAAATATCTTTAAATATAAGATTGATTGTATGAGAAATACAATGGATATTTATGATATGTGAATATTTTTCAATGATTTGATGATGAGCAAGCTTGATATTAGCATCAGAATCGCTCACAATTGCAGAAAATTTGTTTTTTTTAATTTTACTAATTACTTCTTCAATTTGTTCAGCTAAAAAATCTGCTTATGGCATTCATTAAATAAATTTTTAAGACTTCAAAGATATTTTTGATGATTTGAAATATGCATTACAAAATTTCAAATTGATTCATTTGCAGGATTTGACTAATCATTGCAAGCTGATTATATATGAATAAATATTAGTAACTTATTAAAATTTTAAAAATTAAAAATTTTAATATATGTAAAATAATAACTTACATAAAGTTAAATCCTGCTGATGTATTAAATGCTTGATTACTTATTGGTTAATCACAGCTGATTTTTGTGCTAATAAAAATCTTTCAGATAAAACCACTCTGCTAGGTGGTTGATATGATGATCATAATAATTTTATCAATTCAATAAAGAATGGATTTCTTATAGTATGTCATAGAATTTCACAAATAACAAATGCTTTTACCAAAGCACAATCTATTTAATTGTCTATATTCTTACCAAATTCAGTAATTTTTTGCTGTCCACTAATTGTAGCATTACTCTTTCTTTTTTTATTTACAGTCACGTCTGAAAGTGATGCCTGATTTAAAATTAATGCTAAAAATAACAAAACTTTATTGATTTTCATTAAAATTTACATAAAAATAATTACTAAAAATGGTTAGTAATGTATTAGCACTTCTCTTGCTTCTAGTACTGCATTTATTCTTTGTGACATTGAAGCAACAATCTTTTCAAAAATGAAATAATCCAAATTTTTCCATTCTTCACTTAGTGCAATTTTAAGTTTACCCACAGTTCTTGAAAAAATCTTACAACTCTGGATATTATCCTTTAACTACTTCCAGATGTTTTTTATTGGATTTAAGTTGGGAAAATTTGTCAGCCAATCAATAACAACGATTTTTTTCTTCTTCAACCAATCTTTGGTTATTTTCATGATATGAATGGGTGCATTATCCTATTGAAAAATTGCAGCCCTTCCTGTTAACTCATGAACTATATGCTGAAATGGATATAGATATGAACTTAGAATTCTAATGTAAGTATTTGAATTGATTTTTTTATTTCCTTCTTTATTTTCATTACAAAAAACTAATAGCCTTTTTATCTCTCCTGCAAAATATTCCCAAACTATAACTGATTTTCAATCACTTTTAAATTTAGGTGTCAAGTATTCAGTATTAAACCTTTCCCCTGTATGTCTTCAAACTCTTATTTGTTGTGACTGCTTGCCAATTTCAACATTTGATTCATTTGAGAAAATAACTTGTGCCTAATCATAAGCTGTTTTTTTTTTATATTTCTTATACTAACTAATATGAGGTAATGCATGCTTTTCTGAGGTAAAAGTTTTTTTTGCAGCAACATGAGAATAAATTCCAACATCATGCAATGCTCTTTTAGCAGTTGTAAGACTGCAATTTAAACCTAGTGCATTAATGACTTCATGTAAAGGTTCGCATTAATCTTGTATAACTTTATTTATAAATGCATTTTTCTCATTATCATTGAGAGCAGGTGGACATCCTGATCTAGGTAAATTTTCAGTTTTTCCTATCTTCTTGTATCTGTCAATAATTCTTCTTATTGTGGCAAAGTTACAACCCATTTTTCTTGTTATTTATGCAGGGTTAAAATTCTTCATATATGCTAGTATTTTTCCTTTATCTTGAAACGTTAACTCAGTTCTATGTGACATTATTTTTTTAACTTTGCAACGCATTTATTAGATTATAAAATTATCAGAAAAAGATTTAAAAATAAAAAAAGTGGTATAAATAATATAAATTTTGTGTATTGTAACACCATATAAAATTGGACATCACTTTCAGATGTGATTTTAGCTGAAGCTGAATTTTGATTAATTGTCTTTATTGCTAATCATTATAAAAAAAGATCTTTAATTAAAGATTCAACTTTCTTACATTTAAAAGCTAAATAAATATACTTCAATTTTTTTAGATAAATTTATGGGTCAAATAATGTGACATAAAAGGCATTCTGTACGCTAACGAGAAGGATTAACCTCCTCAAGTTTCTTTGTATATATATCACAACCAAACCAAACTGACTTGCCTCCTTTATTTTTTGGTTTAGGTAGTGTTTCATTATGTGATATATCTGTAGATTTTAAATCTTGAAAAGGTTGTTCTATATAAAATTTCTTTTAAAGAAGCTTTAGTAAACAATATTTTTTCTAAGTGAAAAAAAAGAACATGAAAAAGTTATAAAAAAGAAAAAACTAAGCTTTTTTTTGTCGTATTTCATTTTATTATGCAATCTTAAGTATTAAAAAGTTTAACAAAAATGAAAATGTTAAAGTAACATTTAATATTTGGTAAAAAAAAATTTAATCAGCATATCAGTATTAATTTGATTGGTTAATTATAAAGCATCAATGATCTGAGAAGTTTTAGAAGGTTTCATCACTATTGAGCAGTTTCGTCATTATCAGAAAGTTTTGGCTTTTGTCTCAGTTTTGACCGTTTGAAAAGTTTCAGATTTTAGGTCTTAAAAGATGAAACATTTCGACCTTGAAGTTTTAGTTTCACCCATAACATTAAATGTGACACAAAGATACAATATAAACGATTTCTTAATTTTACTAATTTACTCACCACTTTCTGATTAGCTGGTATAATTGATATTAGTTAGGGTTAGGGTTAGGGTTAGAATTTAGGTGATTTATCACTGATGTGATACCGGTAATGTTTCAATTTTTATTAAGTATCTGAGGGACTTGGAATTTTTTAAGGTAGTGATGTTTATTTGCCATTCCCTTAATACATGACCAATAACATATTGAATTATATCAGCCAATCAGAAAGTGAGATGAAATTAGTGAAATCAGATCAGATTTCTCTCCATTATTTTGTTCAGTCATCACAAATATGCAGTCAGTAGTGTAATTCTTTGGATAGTTTCTCACACAGTTTTCTGAAAGTTGCACATTTGCCGTTGTTTGCAATCGTAAGGGCCTGCAGAAATTTCTCATTCAAATTATAATGGGCGGGCTATAAATAGGGGTTGCCTGGGTGACGTGATTTCAAATACTCTGAAAATGTACCTTTTTCAAACTCTTTGAATTACATCTGTATAAGTCTACTGATTCTGGAGGAGGAATCGGTTAATTGTCAGTCATCTTATTTCATAAGCATAGCAATAGAAGAGGTGGATAAGCAAAGTGTATCTATCTCATAAAGGCCCAGCCACACGTCATAGTAACAAGTCTATTTCAATTTAATAGAGTTAACAACACTCGCGCAAGTGTACAAACTTGTATTTCAGTAAATAGATTAACCAAATGTAATGAAAATACGTATACTTTAAAGAACTACGAAAGATAATGCGCAAGAAACACAAGACTTTTTAAAACCTTTTAGATTTTTAAAGCTCGAAAGAGTTGATTAATTAAATAAGGAAAAAAATTTTTTTTTTTTAAAAAATTAAAAGTATAAGACAAGAATAAGAATATATGGCAAAATGAATATATATATGGAGTTCTTGTATAAGTAAAGCGCGCATTACCGTTTATAATCAATATTAAAGAAATTCTATGCTGTCTTAAATAAATAAATGCATATTTTATTTAAGAATTCATTTAAAAACAAAAGTTCATAGTATATAAATAAATACTTATTATAATCTTTTGCATCTTGTTTTCGAATACACCTTTGAACATTCAAACAGTTGACAAAATACACAAAACTGGAAGAATATTAAGAATACATACATACTAAAATAAGTTTGAAACAGAAAGTCAAAGACCATTTAGAATGTATTCAAAGCCTGCTAAAAGTAATTCACTAGAAAGGAGCTATATTTTACCCCATATCGATGAACTCCACATCATTGTTAAAAAAAAATTTTTTTTAAAGGAAGATAAAACTTGAAAATGAATATTATAAAGAGATCACGTCACATGAGCGGCATACTAAAACGATTTATTCTAAATTTATCCCTAACTTTGCAAATTTAGAAAAAAGCTTAAAGACATCATCTTGACCTGTGTTCGTTAATGCAGTCTTTATCGTAATCTCCTTATTATACGTTAAAGTGATATTCAAGAGGGTGTGTGTCATATGTGTCTGTGCATATGGCAAGAATGAAACTTCACCAATATTCAAATTCTGCCCTTTGAAAAAATAATCTTTCCAATTATCCACCACTTTTCTCGTCGCAATCATATCTCCGAGATTATACGGATGAGTGATAATCTTGGTATGTCGGAAATACTCAGACGGATCCATAAACTCTAGAGTCATCGTTACTATTTTCTGTGCATTAATCAACATATCGCGACGACAACTCTTATCATATTCGTTAATATGTGCGCCATAAACTTCTGTGATCCAATTCATAGAAGTCATCACGTGAACCGTATCTTCTCCCGAACATGCTTGAAGCATTTTGTGAAATTCTTGTGCGTAAAAGTAATCGCAAATATTGCTCCATGACATTGTCCATGGATCTAATTGGCGAATTGAGGTTAGTAACTCAGGATAATCATTGGTGACGGATTGAAAATGTAGATAAATATCTATCTTTTCACTTTTTCCTTCAGGTGGTGATAACCAATCACAAATTTTCGTGATGGATTGTTCAAGGAATTCGTACATTGCATTCAAGAAGGTGGTTTTTTTACGTTGGAACCTCGTTAGAATGGCATCCATTGGTATCATTTGGTGCATAAATTCGCTTGTTGAATGTGGTGAAATTCCATTATTGCAATTGAACATTGTAATGCTTGCAATTAAATTATTCGGTTGTTGATCGTCCATGAGCGGAAACTCTCCAGTAAGGATATGACGCGCGGTTTGCACCCGATCTCTTGGTTCAACAAGATCGGCGACAACGTAAAACACAGCATTCTCAAAATTAAAGGTTTTCGACCAGAGTTTGTGAGCTTTTTTCCGAGATTTTGGTGATTTGACAGAATCATTCCAATGAGAAATTAGAGATCTAACTTTTGGATGAAGTTCGTTTTTTGTAGGGTTAGGAGGACCATTATTTGGCGCGTTTCCATATTTCAAGACATTTTTGACGGCATTCTTAAAGTAATTTAAAGTCATCATTGTCCACGTGGTAGAAAACCAAACTTCTATTATCGATCGAATTGGAGCTTTTACCAACATCATTTCTTTAATCACATTGGTTTTCGCAACAGCGTAAACAGAACCTTCGTAACCAATGAATTTGTTTGGTTGATTTAAGGAATTCTCTCTTGTCATAATTTCAGCTCGAAGAAGGAAATCCAAGTCAACAAAGCCAACAGCAACATGAACTTTTCCTTTGTCAAGTATTAGGCTTTGTTTTGGCATGTTACTAAAGCTTAGAGCACCCATACCACTGTCTCCAACATATGGATTTTTTGTTTTCCCAGTAAAAATGTCACCAATTTTCCTTGGAGATGTGAGAAAATTTTCGAGTTCTTTTGAACATTCACTCCATCTTTTCATTAAATGCGTGAAATCTTCAAAGTCAACGTTTATGAAACTTTCAGCGAAATGAAGATTTTTTAATGATGATTTACTAGATCCAAGAATTCGAATTTGGTCCTTTTCTTGTGGATATATCTTGGCATATTCTTGTTCAAAATCAGGCACATACCAATCATTCGCAACGTTGTCCTTATCTATACCGAACATCATGTCAGTAAAGTGTTTGAGCATTTCAGATTTATCGTTAGGGAATGAACTTGTTGGCATATTCATGGCAACTTCTGTTCTATCGATGATTTCGTTAGCTTTGACAACCGATAATTTACCACACGAAATTTTATGCTTTTTCCAATCTTCTTTTTGGCATTTTTTAGAACAATAGTATATCTGATGGCATTTTGCACATTGGCTGGTAGAAGGTTTCTGACATACGCCACATTTCTTCATAATGTAATTAGAAAGGAATTTTAATAGAGTAAAATACTATTAGAAAAGGAAGAAAAAAGTATTTTTTTTATTTTTTATACAAATATGAACAGGTTTTGAAACACCCATACGTTACACGACAATATATTGATTGAGCTTTTACAAGTGAAAATTTTTAGCTAAATTATTGTTTTCAAAACGTAATAACAAGTTTGGGAAATTGATTACCTTATAATTGTGTAATTGTTTCCGAGAAAGGAAATTTGTTTGGGTTTAGATTTAAAAATGCAACTATTGTGCAATGTTTACTTCTAACAACAAGTGGTAAATAGGTCATTTGATGAATATTCATAATATTTTATAAATTTTCAAAATATGAACGTGTCTTAACTTATCATATCACGCTCTAGATATCATTCTTAGTGAAAGTCATAGCGATTATCATTTTATTGTTAAAATTTTTAAAAAATTTGTTTGTTTTAATCGGAAGTCAAAAATTCTGAAATTATCCGAGAGTCGCTTGACAGAATCCATTTGAATTTTTTTTGAATTTGTCAAACATCCATTTTCATCAATTTTTTATTTATGATGTGATAATAATGCATTTAAACTTGGTACTCGAAATATCCGACTTTTTTTTGGGATTTTACATCAATTTTTATGACTAATAGTGTCGATCAATCCATTTTTAGATGTTTATCATGGAAATCATATTTTGATTTTCCTTATTTAGATTTTATCACGAACTTGAGAATCTGAGAATCACACAGCCGAATGTTTTGGATTATAAATGCTCAGAGTATCATTTTTCTCGTCGTCAAGCTGTCTCCGCAACATGGATGGTTCTAGTTATATTGTTGATATCAGAATACTTTGTTCACCGTTCCCATAGGTATCGAAAATCGAACGTTTACAAGACCTTCCTGATGTTCGACGAGTTCAAAACTTACAAACTCCAAAGAAATTATAATGTCCTTACGGAGCATCTGCGGACAGATAAGTTCAGAATTTTTTTCTTTTCTCGTTATTTTCCTTTAAATTTACTAATATCTACTATAGAGAGGGATGTCGTACGCTTTTTGCTGTCCTAGAACTACGCTTGTCGTACGCATTTTTGCTGTTCTAGAGACTACGCTCCCTCTTTTTCTTCTCAGTAGTTTTTAAATAGATATTAGCTAGTTTTCTTCTATATGTAATTTTTTTCTTTTTTTTTTTTCCATGTATCTCTTCATGTATCTTCTTTTCATTATTCAATAAAATTTTAATTACTTTTGCCCTTTAATTGATCATAACAATTAATATAAAATTTCTTTTAATTTTTTAATCCTTATATAACAAATCAAATTTCTGTCCAAGTAAAATTTTTACTTGAGACAACGGAGGATGTAGACCAAATAAATTAAGAATTTTAAATGGTGAAAACTTTAAAGGCATATTTGAAGCAGGCAAAAGAGCAATTATTATTTTCAACTTCTATATCAAGCGTCAGAATTTATTTATTTTTTTTTGGTCACAAGAAACATATTTTTTTTTTTATGTTAATTCTGATAATAAATGCTGAAGTTCAACAAAAAATTAAAATTCCTTTTTTTCGTTGTGATATAAACTTTATTATTATAACCTGAAATAAACAAAGTAATATATTGTTTTGAAAAAAATGAGATTCACGGTTTGTAAATGTAGAATTTTTTGCCTTTGAATTAAATAATAAAATGAAAGTTCAAATAAAGAAATAATCTTGAAAAAAAAGAAGAAAAATTGCAATGATGCACTGTATGTAGTTAAATGTAACCTTTTTAACCCATATTTAATTAATCCTATGAATTATTTTTTTTTTATTTATTTTTTTTTTTTTTTACGACTTTTCTTCAATCGCTGGAATATCCGATTGTAAATTTTTCTCTTCCATACGAGTAAGTTTTTGTCCTGTGAGATCTTTTATCATTCCGCTGAGTACATTACCAATACTACGTCTAGATTCAAAAACCTAAAAAAATTTTTTTTTTTTAAAAAAAAAAAGGTTATCAAAAAATATAATATTAAAAATAAGTTGCGAGCTTTGAAAGTTATACTCACGGGATAAATCGTGGCACAAATGGTAGCGCAAATAGCCCAAATCATTGAGATTGCCACCCAAAATGTAAAGAATGGTTTCGTGAAAACATAGTTTGAGAAATACATTGGTAACGGCCATACTATAATCAGTATGACCGTTAATACAACAGAACTTATAACTGCAAATTTGAAGGCCGCCCTTAATCTAACAGGATCTTTTTCCATTGGATCATCATGGATAGCATTAGCAACTACTTCATCATCCGTTAAAATTTCCAATTTAGATCTGGTTACTTCGAAATCAAAATTATCTGGTTTAATCAATGATACGACCGTTGCTATTATTCCTGATGTGATTAGGGATGTACTATATATATAAAGGAAAAAAAAAAAATAATATAAATAAATGACTTTAAAAAAAAAAAAAAATTTAACGTATATGTAGAAAATAAATATTACTTACAGATTTCCAGCCAACATGGGATAATTTTCACCAGTCGATTTAATCGTAAGTTCATGATATAGAGATTGAGCTGTGACAAGCCATGCCGTAATACCGCAAACAACACCTATTAAAGCGGCAGAAATAGCGGCTGGGGCACTTTGTTTTGGCCATGTAATCGTGAACGCAACAGGAATAACGGCGGGGGAAGAAATAATTCCCATAAGCAAATACATATATCCTAAATTGATATTTATGTAATGAAGTATAGTAGCTAATGCGCCCATAAGTATACCGAAGGCAATAACAGAAAAATGTGATTGTCGAATAACTTGTCTCCCAAGAGCCTATCATTATTTATGAAAAATGAATATTATAAGAAAATCGTAAATTTTGTGATATATATATATTATATATACTGTATATAAAAAAAAAAGAAAAAACTTACACCAGAGTGAATATATGCACGGTAAATATCGTAAGTGTATATCGATGATACGGCAATAAGTTCAGCCGAAGCGGCAGAACTAATAAAATTTGTTAATATTATTTTATAAAAAAAAGAAATTTTTGAACTCGAATATTATATTATTAATACATACGTGACAGCCATGAAAACTAATATCAAGACAGCGAAAGCACCAGGTTTGCCCAGAAGAGCAGTAGCAGCAAATGGAAGTACTAAACCAGAATCAACTTGTTCGTTTGTAAGAGGTTCTAATTTACCAGCACCGACAAGAGCAACACCGGCGATACCCATAGTTGTAGCCAAGGTGAATGGAATTGAAAACCATGATAAACCTCCAATCAAATAAGCCTTTACGGTTGAAGAAGGTCGAGCCGCGATAGCACGTTGCCAATAAGCATTATCCACAAATACGGTTCCAAAATTACCAACAATATTGATAATACCGAAGATTAAGCCTTGTAAGGATGCCATCGTTACAAATGATCCTTGTTCATTTTCCGCTACAGAACAGATCCCATATGATGGATATTCCGCAATATTCGGATAATCGATTTTGAATTTCTCTTCATCACAAGGTGTTTCGGAGACTTGAACCAATAAATCATACATTTTTTGTGGAGATCCGATCATATCCGATGAGCCGTAAACAGTGAATAAGAAGGAAAGAATAATAATAAAAATAACACTAGTGTGTACGTAATCTGTCAAGAAGGTTGCTTTTAGACCACCAAATAATGTATAAACCAATACACCAAGCGGAAGTAAAAAGCAAGATGCAATAGTATCGACACCGGTGAGTGCGTTTACGACAGCTGAGCCACCAAGTAACAACATAGCAGTTACGATAACTAAATTACAGAGAATTTTATTTATTTTAAAACGTATTCTTTTCCTTCAGAAGAATATTAACAAAAATTTGAAAAAATTTATTTACCATTAGTGGCCATACCGAAGAATAGAAAGACGATATGAGTTCCTTTTCCATAACGGACATAAATAATTTCAAGGAAGGTATGTGCATTTGGTGCTTTTCTTTTGAGTTCGATAGCAAGTATAGCGAAAAGCAATACCTATATCCAATAAATAAATAAATAAATATATTTGTTAAATTATTTATTATTATGAAAACGTAGAATTATGAGAATAATGAATACCTGAATGGTAGCACCAGAAGCATACCAAAAAGGTCTAAATGAAAAAAATAATAAATTAGATCTCATTGATTTTAAAAAAAACACAAAGTTATTCAATTACCCAGAAACGCCATATTTATATGCTACAGAAGAGGATTGTAAAAGTGTAGCAGCCCAAGTCCAAGAGGATACCACAGCGGATGCCACAAGACCAGTTTTTACAGAACGATGAGCCGTCATAAACATTTCGGATGTTTGATATTCTTGGAGATAACGTTTTTGGGCCAATGTTAAGAGTGTCATTACAATAGCAAAGAAGGCACCGAATCCCAAAACTACATAAATGAATTAAAGTTGATCATTAAGAAATGAATTAATTGGAATTAAAGTTGCGGATGAATATAAATTAACATAATTACTTATTCCCCAACCAACACCCTGATCGAGAATAGCCATTTCGTAAAAGTTATATTATAAATCAAAAAAAAATTTATAGTTTTTTTTTTTTTTGTTTTGAATTAATGTTAAAATATTAATTATTTACAAAAAAAGATATTATAACATTTAAGTTATTGTTTCATAAAAAAAATTTTTTTCAGGAAATAAAATATAATAATTATCGTTAAGAATAATTAAATTCGTTAAAAATTAAATTCGTTATAAATTTATCAGTTTCCTAAGTCTTTCATGAACGGGTAACTGATAAAAAAAAAAAATTCTTGTTGATAATTGCTGTGAATTTATAAGAATTGATTTCTTCATGAAATCTAAATAAATGAAAAAATCAAATCTTTTTGACACAAAATCGATTATTTGATTGTAACCATCTTCATGGAGATTTTTTCTTTATGAACGAATTAATACTATGTATGTATTAACGGCGTTATTTTTTTTTTAACATAAATCATGTTACTAAATAAAGTTCCAAAATTTTGGAAGAATAATTAATATTCACGTTTTTTGTACATTGCATATGTACGCAATCCATACAAACACAAGTGGGAAAATAATGAAAAAAAATACACACGATATAACTTTTCATTAAAGCATGTATGTTTGCAGTGAAACATAAACAAAAAATTCTTATCATTAACTGTTATGAGTCTCATAATCAAATAAACCATAAATGATTCTTAACATTTAATTAGAAAAAAATGGATTGTCATATTTTTTTTGGTGTGACCAGAATAGATAAGAGTGCAATAAAAGATTTTGATTATCTATAAATTGGGATTCACTATTATTAAAAAAATTTTTTTTTTTTTGCAAAAGTTAACTTGCGGCTGCCAATCGGAATTTTTTATTGAATGGTGGGGAAATCCCGAAAAAAACCCCGAGCAAAAAAAGATCGTGTAACAGGGATACTGAATTGTGATTGTTTTGAATTTCGATCCATTTTAAAGAGATAAGAAAGTTACATTGCAATCATAAATGACTGAAAAAAGCTAAAGTAAATGTTGTAAGTTTGTTTGAAGAGGTAAACAAATTTTCATGTAATACAATTCATTCCTATCAATGACCTTTTTATGGAAATTCATTCCTTTCAAAAAAAAAATTCGGAATGATAAGAAAAAAATTTGATTAAAAAATTGCTGAAATGGGAAACTCATAAAAATTAATAATCGCTGATGGATTTATAAAAAAAAAATTTGATATCAAGAAATATTTTTGAAGGTTTTGAAAAGAGCATACAGTATCTTGCAGTTTGTATTTGTATGAAAACGTGAATAGCAACCTACTTGCAAATCCAATGTTCATTTTTAAGTATGTACAAAATCTAATCAATCTATATAATGGAATCAATGTTACACATGTTACAATGATACTGCGCTACAAATATTAGACAAAGAAAATGATCTTATCAAATCCCGAATTTACCCTTATGACGTCTTCAAAAAATTTCTGAATTCAAGATTTTGATTTGTTGTATAATTTTCTTATCTTTAATGAATTACTTTCATCATTTTCTTCAATTACTGCGGCTACACTTGTGGTGTCAGGTGATGTGACAGCATGCAGATCGTAAAATTTTTGGCTTATCTTCAATTTGTAATTGTGTGCCATTGTTATCTGCAAGCATTGTGTTGTGTGAAAATTGGTAGACTTTAGTGTTTATATGTTACTGTTTTTATACGCGAAAAAAAATTCGGAAGTAAACTTGATTCTTCCAAATCCATTTTTTTTAAAAATAATAAATATAGATATGTATCTTTACATTAACCTTTTACAAAAGTAAACATTTTCAAGATCGATGAATGTACAGATAGATCTTAGGTTTAATTATTAATTAAAAATATTTAAGCGCACAAACCACAACATCTTTTCGCGTTATTATTTAGTTTTCTAGATTCTCACACATTGATCTAAACGTCAAAGAAAAACCTGTTACTGCACTGCTGCAATTCATATGCTTTTTTGTTTGCTTAAAATTCATTTATTCATTTATATTATCATTGTTATTATTTTTTTTAGGTAGGATTAACTACTTTGTTATTTTATGCCTCATAACATAATTAATTCATTTTATTATAGTCGTCGATCAACAATTGTACAGCGTTACCGAGTTGGTGTTATTTTTTTCTATTGTCGTTAGAAGGTAATGATACATATACTTTGATGTATACAACAAAAGATCAAAATGTCTTAAAATCTTTCTTCACTAATCTCAAGTCATAGAAGGAGTATCAAGTTTATCTGTCGAATCACCAGCAACGTTGCGTTCGACTAGCTTGGGTGGAAAATTAAGCTCATTAGAGTAACGTTTAGTCACCCGTGAAAAATATGCCTATATATTTTATAAAAGAGATAATTTGTTTTTAAATAAATATAAATATGATATATGTATATATATATAATCACTTACCACAAAAAGAGCGGATAATATTAAACCAATGGATCTCAACCAAATCCTGACAATCTCATGATGTCTACAATAATTCGACAAACTTTCATTCGTATTATCATTTGATGTCGCATTAGAAAGTTTATTAACGACTGAATTTTCAAATGATTCGGTCGCATTTTGAATTTGTCTCTGACCTTCATCCATTAAAAATGATGGATCTTTTTGGATGCATAAATCAATTGCCTCTTGTTTTGCACGTATCATATTAGTAATAACAAGAAATGCTATGATTATGTTTGCCGTCACGGCTCCTCGCAATATAGATTCCAATAATTTAATTCTTTTGGACGTTACCTTTAAAAGTAAATTGTTTAGTTTTATAGATAAAATTCATTTAATTTACGTATATATTGATTTTTTAACCTACAAATATTGCACCGATTATTCCAAATATAGAAATTAATGCCATAATAATATAAATGATTCCGATGATGATTGTTAACCCATGAGAGAGTCCATAAAAAACAACTTGAGACGTCACTAAAATGCGTTAGTGGGTGGGATTACATTTTATCAAGTATTAAAACTCAACTTGTTAAAATATACATACCAATTGGTTTACCTAGAAAAGCAATAGCAAAGAATGTAGAAATAAACTGAAATGATATTCAAAAACAGGAATATAAATAACTACAATAATAATAACTTTAAACAACTTGAAGAAGCCTTTTTTTTTAAATAAATCATACCAAGCTAATAATGGAGAGAATAATTGTGCCAAATCGTAATGGGAAACTGAGGAAAAAGAAAAAATAATTGTTCAAAACAACGACTTTATAATACGAAATTTCTTAGCATAAAGACTTACCAAAAACAGCAGAAATTGTAGTTCATTGTGTCCTTGTTAATTAAATACACACTAGAAATAAGAGAGAAATATATTAGCGCGTATGAGAATAAAAAAAAATGATGATTTGGCAGACTCGCATTTTGTGGAAACGTTAATTATGGCTTTGCAATGTTTCTAAGGTTTATTATGGCTTTGTCAAATATGATTTTTTTTTAAACGTATCAAATAAACAAAGTTGGTGTGGCTAATCCAATGCTTTACAATTGTATTGGATAACAGGACCTAAAAATACTTAATACAGGAGATTATATGTGGCTTTAACTTTTATTGTCAGCCTGATTAGTGACTTCCTGCGCACTACAAATTTCAAGCGATTATAAAAATTGGTCATACTTTGCTCAGAGTTATGTCATATCATGTGAGCATAGATTTAATCGTTTATAAATTAAACCAAACTAAAATAAAGCTATAAATTCTTTTCCTACAAACGAAATATGACACCGGAAACGAAACAAATGTCAACGGAATCTCCGAATACTGTCGAAAAGGATCCCCATAATCAATGGGAAACGAATATTGAACTAGAATCTCCATCAAGAAATTCGAATAATTGGTAGTGTGATTTTCGTTGGCAAAAAAAAAATTGGTTTTAAATGTTATTGAAGTACCATTATTTAACAGGTCATGGCATGAAGTCGGGAACGAACAATATCAAATCTGTGAAGCTCCGGATAGTTCTTTGCCAATCTTACCACCTGAAGATACAACTCCACTTGAAATAAGATATCCCTTGGAAAAGGAAGCTGACGTTGCTGATACTAATGTAATAGCTGGTAAAATCGGACAAGGTGCATATATCGAATTGGAGGATGGGACTGCCGTGTTAGTTGGATAATTTCACTTTTCGAAAATTAACCATCAAACATAATGTTTCTTTTTTTATATTATCGTTACATAAATAAATTTCATTTCATAACGCTCTTGCCTTTTACCGATTACTTTAAATAACAGACACAAATAAAGAAACGGGATAAATGACAATTCATAACAAAATTATTAAGGTTTCTGAACCTATTATTCCAGCCTAATTTGGGGTGAAAATACCCAAGTATTATTCTTAGCTTTTTACAATGTTAACTACAAAAAAGTTTAATATATCCTGTTTTTACAAATTGTAAATTTAGAAGAATATATATCCTTTTTCTTAATAAGAAGATACATGAAATTATTACTTTGTTTTCTTCAATCTTAGTAACAATTGGAAAAATAAATTAGGCGCATTGGTTAAATTAGAAGGTATTAAGTAATTTAGATAATATACAAAAATTATAAAAAATTATTTAATTAAAATAAATCAAAATTATAAAATATTTCAAGAAGTAATTAAAGATTTACCAATGATATTTATTATTAATATATCAATGGAAACAAAAGATGGTTTTTTTAATAAAATAAAAATTTTCAATTATATTATTAGAATTATCCTTTGCTTAAATAAAAAAAATTTTAAAAGATGTTAATTTATATTAAAAACTAAGGATATCATCAATAAATAATAACAAAATATATATATATATATATATTTAATTAGATTTTATATATTATTTTAATATATATCTTATAAATGTTAAAATTTAATTAAAATTTTTTTTTAATATTTACTAATAAGAATTTTTACTAAATTAAAATACTTGATTGATATCAATATTTGATTAATTAAATATATAAAAAAATTAATATTCATACTTAAAATTTAATCACATATAATAGTAGAATATGTACAGTTCCTAGTAAAAATAATAGCGGTAAAATTTGCATCTATTTTTAGATTGCATTTTAGAATTAAGCATTTATTATATGGGAGGTTTGCTAGGAAAATGGGGCTCTGAACATTTTTTATTAAAATTTTAATTTTTATTGCATTTTAATTTTTGATAATGTTAGATTAAAATGCAATAAAAATTAAA